CCTCAACCACCTTAGCCTTCCCCTTGTCAGCAGCAGGGACGCGGGGTCGCCGCTCCTCATCCGGGCTGTCGTCGTCCGAGAGCAGCACCCGGGTTTTTTTCCGGGACACGCCTAGGCTGTGACGCAGCCGCCTCTTCAACAGAGGCACGTCATCATCTGACGAGACGCGCCATGGGTCGTCCGCGTCGTCCTCGCCTTCGAAGAAGACAGCATCACGGCCATCACCCGCCTCCGCCACCACAACAGCAGCCGTATTTGCGCCTGTTTCGGCCTCCGCATCTGCATCCGCCTCCGCATCCGCATCTTCATCCGCCTCCGCATCCGCATCTGCATCCGCCTCCGCATCCGCATCTGCTTCCGCCTCCGCATCTGCACCCGCCGCCTGAGCTTCTACCGTCGCATCCGCCGCCGCATCAGCAACCGCATCCGCGCCTCCGTCATCGTCATCGTCGCCGGCGTGCCACTCCTCCACATCGTCGCCGGAGCCTATCGGCTGCATCCACCAGTCGTCATCGTCGATGCCTCCGGCAGGCACCTCGTCACCAGATGCGCTGTCGTCGTGGCCGTTTTCCGGCCAGTCCTCTTCGTCCTCGTCGCCATGATCTTCGTCGCCGGCGTCTTCGTTGCCCTCTTCCTCGTCACAACTTGCGCCAGAGCCGGCGTTGGAGCTCCCCGCCGGTTGGCGCTTCTCTTTCGCCATGTCTACCCGGATGTCGTCACCGGGCGAGTTGATGCGCCCATAGTTGGTAACATGGACGTTAAGGAGAGGAGACGGCGCGCTTGCAGGATGCTTACTACGCATGATAGAGCCTGCTTAGAGCTAAGATTGAGCCACTTTCGAGTTTCACGAGCAAAAAATGAAGCTCAACCTCGACTACCCCCCATTCCAGAGTGCCCCCCCCCCCCTTGGAAGACGAGCCGCTCCTCTACGGCAAATTTGCTCGTAGAGGACAACTCAGGATGGCAGGATGCTGCCATCGTGCTGCTGGCAGCGTTCTAGAAGGCTCTGTTCCCTGCTGGCAGCAAAACGACACTAGAAGCATCATGAGATGCTGCCAGCAGGGCGGAATTCTGCCAGCACAAGCAGCATTGATGCTTCTCATCACGTGGCACGAGGTGGCGGCGCATGAATCGCATCAAAATGTGGCTGTTTTCAATTAATCCGCCCCGTGGGTGGTTTCTACAGTCTTTCCGAATGTTACATGGTTCTTATATATTTTGCCTATTTATAAGAATTATAAGACACCCCAAACCGTCCCAAATATAAGACACAGCAAGCATTTTTTCCAATGTATAAGATAAGACATATATGTCTTCTATCCGGGCGATGACGGTAGTGTAGTTATCACATTCTGTTTGGTGGATTACCCCCTTTCCTATCATATTTGTACCCTTAGCTCTATAGTGAAGTCCTCTTTCATTGCCAACTCCCTCACACTCTACCTCCCAACATGGCTCCTAAGGCTAAACCCTAGCAACATATCCTGACAATGTCGATGCGCAGCTGTCGCCCATACTTCTGCAGCAAGTCCTCTTGGCGCTACAGAGCAAATCGGTGCTTCACCATCCCTTCGTGCTTCTTGAAAGACTGTGCTTGCACGTCTGTAGCTCCCTCAATACGCCACCCACACTTGCCATTCAATCCCGCAAACTCCAAGCAAATACTGCACTTGAAAGAAGGGGCACCAGAAGAGGTCTTAGTTAGACCAAGCCAACTGTAATCGGTGGACCACTTGGATCTAAATCTCTCATGAGCTTCCTCGTATTTCAACTCAGGATTGTCAGATTTGGGCTTTGAGCTGCCCTGCATGGGCTTTGTGCTGTCCTGTGTGGGCTTTAACCTTTCCTGCATGGGAGAATCGTCGCTCGCAGGAGTCACAACGGTCGATGGAGGAGGCGGAGTTGCCCACCCAAGGGTGGACTGACGATACCGCAGCTTCGGAGGTGGCGCGGGACGGGAAGGTGCACCGACGGACGCCTCATGGGGCACCGCCTGTTGGGGAGTGGTCGCTGGTTCAGTGACGGCCTCGTGCAGAGGTGGGGTGTCTCTGGGAATAGGTGGGCGGCTCGAGCTGGGTTGCGACGGTGGCGTTTGCGGTGGATTGTGCTTCGGTAGGACAGACCTAATGAAGTCTAGACCGGTGAGTGGGTCAGAAACTGGGCGACCGACTGCATCATCCTCATCCTCGGGCCCATCCGCGACAACCTCTGTGGCTGCCATTGAGCCTGCCGAGCAGAGGTGTAGCGAGCTAGGAAAAGGGAGCCTGAAACAAGGGCTCCTACACTAGTTTCAGGCGAGGCAAATGGAGCGGGCCCTGAGAGAGACTGGCAAGATCGGTGTCTAAGAGGAAGATGAGAGGTCCTCGTAGTAGGACCTCTCATCTCCTAGGTGGTCATTGCATGCACGGCACCTGGGCGTGAATCCTTGGAAGGTGGGGTGAATGGGGTGGATGGATGTGGTCACGTGAGAGTAGCAGCGCGGTGCGAGCCCTGCGGTGGCAACTGGGAAGGTGGGGTGGGGTGGATGGATGTGGTGATGTGAGAGTGGCAGCGCGCTACGAGCTGTGCGTTGGCAACATTGAAGGCGGAGTGTGGTGGATGGTCATGGTGTAGAGCGAAGGTGCAGTGCGCGGCGAGCTATGTGTTGGCAAGGAATCTTGCCAACACTACCTGCAGCGCAGCTGCGATTAGTCAGAATTGGTTGTGATTACAGCAATTCTGTACCAATGCGAGTGTGCAATGCCGCGCTGGCGAAATTGAGGGTTCCCGCCCGTGATTGACGGGGTTAGTACTACACACCGCCAGGCTGGCGCAAACCTGGGATGGCATCTTGAAATATGTAGTGTACTTGCTGGCTGGCTGGTTGTGAGGGTGCTCGTTCACTATGTATTGAACACCACTCACGAGATAGCATTACAGTTATAGACTTTACATTTTTGCAACACAAGCACAGCAAGCTGCAAACCTGCAGCCGTCATAGACAGGCAATCGCTGCAAGCCTGCAACACAAATGGGCAAAACTAAAACTCCAGGCAATGGCAAAGCCTGAATGCATCATAACGGCATACAGGAACGTAACCTGCTGTACAAGGAAAGGCGGATGTACGCGATACAGGCGGATGTAAGCGGATGTACAAAACTACCGTAGGTTGGTAATCTGTTGGAGATTGGTGGCGTCTTCGAATCTATCGAGGAAAATCGGAGCAGTCAAATGCCACATGCCGGTTGCGAGTGAAGCAGCCTCGGAAAAAGAAATACAGCTTGACGGGATACGTAACGGCACCGGCTCCGTGAGTATCCCCGTTATGGACATTAATCTCTCCCGGATGCAAGCATCATCCTCCATTGATCGTCCTCCTCCTTCTCATTGCCGAACGACCTCGCGCGAACAATCACGTCTTTTCCCGAAGGAGGCGACGCTTCGAGTGGAGGCGAGAGGCGGAGGCCGCAAGGCACGGCGCTTACGACGGCGGAAGAGCTGAATGCTTTGCCGACGCTCTTGTCTCGCGTGAGAATGACCCTCAGCCACGGTGCTGACGCCATGTCGGAATCACTATACTGAACAAGAAGGTAACTCGGGTACAAACGTGTTCCTTGAGTAGTTAATTCAAGGGATGAGTACCCAATTCCAACAAGGAATGATTTATAGTGCAGAGTACTTTTATCCTACCCAAGTTGTGAGCTCAGATAAAGAATACTCTAGCAGGACGAGCGAGCAGGCAGAGGTGGAGAGAGTGGAGAGAAATGGAGGCAAGGGCGTTTATGTACAGGCCAGGAAATGGAGGAAAGGAAGGAGGGGATGGGGTGGGGGTGAAGCTGGAATGGCAGTGGGAAATTGGGAAAAGTTCAGCACGAAGCTACAATTTCCGATAACACAGGCAACGGGACGTGAATATGAGAAAGGGTGCAGCAGACCACAAGGGATTGCATGGGGTGCGCGGGTGGGTCACTGGGATGGGGTTGAATGTCTTTGGCTATCCGTGTTTGGCTGTGTGAATAACTGACCGACCTTCTACTACGTCGCTGAAAGAATGAAGCCGTTTTGAACATCGCCATGGCCATGGCGGTAGAATGCGGGCGGAGGGGAAAGGAGCTGGAACGGTAACCAATGGGTGGAATCGGCGGCACAAGCCAATGGCGGGGAAGCGGGGGAGTGCGGGTTCAGAAGGGTAAGGGGATGTTCGTCGGAACGAGACTATCGGCGGAATCCGTGGTTGCGGTGCGTTGCATTTGGTGCCTCGAGTTTTCATTGATGACTAGGCGACGACGACACGAATTTCGCTCTGACGCGCAAAGAACAGTCGTCATTCGCAAGCAGGGAAGTCGAACAATCCCAAGATGACGAGGGTCTTGGCTGAGCAATATCCAAGACACGAATGTTGACGTGGAAAGTAGTGTATATGATTCAGCAGCGAAGGCTCTGGTTCTGGAGTGGTTGCTCCTGGACAAGGCTGCGTGGCGCCTCATCAGTCATTTGCTTGGGAATCACCAACACTTTTACATTGGTCAGACCACGTCAGATCTACCCAATCACGACGCAATAAATCACTCGTCACAGGCCGACCCAGTTTTAACACATTGCATGGGTCAGCCACTCGTTTCCAGACGCTATGGGTAAGTGTTGAAATGCTAGTAAAAAACCCTATCAGTAAGCAGCATCTTTGCAGCATTATGAAAGAGACACTCCTTGACGCGTAGAAACACTTTTAACGAAAAAAAAAACGTTACACACATACAACGTTTCACAAACCATCTGGTTTGGCTGGAAATTTGCTCTTAACTACCTTCCCCTCTTGCCCCACAGCTGCCGCAAATTCTCGGAGCTTCTTCATTACTGCTTGATTCCGATGGGCTGCCATGGGGTAATATGTAGTTGTATGAGACTGATGGATAGAGAGAGCTACCGTAGGTAGAAAGAGAATGCTGGTGTGATGCTGATTAAAGGAAGCTGCCTCAACATAGATCTCATATCAATGCAAAAAGAGTGAACAAAGTCGTACCTGAGAGAATGATGTCATCAGGTTCCACTCTCTTCCTCTTGGCATGGCGTGCAAACAACTGCACATCCCGAGCCAATTGTTCTGCAGCCAGGCGAATAGAAGCAAGGCGTTGGGTGGGTATGTGTGCAGTGTAAAACGAACAATAGAAGAATGAATCATTCTAGCAGCAAAAGCTAGCAGCAGGAGCTCGCGATTCCATAGGGATGCATAAGAAAACCCACCAAACTATCTGGCAGAACTCATCATGAGACAGCAGGTGCTCACCTGCATACGTCAGGGTCAGGTGCACAAGCGCCTGCATGACGTCATCGTGGATGGACATCCCTGCCGACCGAGCTGAAGAGAACAAGACGATAGGACCGTCGGGAATAAGGAAATATGAGGCGCCAAAGCGTGTCACCATTGTACGCGTCCATGGTTGACTAATTTAAAAAACGGATATCGGTTGGAATGGAAACCGAGGAGGAATTTGCTAGACGGTACTGGGATTCCGTGTGACAAAATCAGATCAAATTCTCCCGTTTCGGTCTCACAAAAGATACTCACCTACCCGTCACTTCCGCTATCATCACCACCGCTGCTGCCATGCGGTGTTCCGCTGCCTTCCTTTCACTCTCATCCCCAACGCCTTCGTGTTGATCGTCTCTCTGTTCACTCCGTTTTTCGAATCCTTCTTCTTGTCCAGTATTCCTGATGCACCGCTGCTCGAAAGGCCTTGCGGAATGGGATCCAGTCCTGTCTGACTCATTTCTCCCCAGTCCATAAGTTCCCGCTTCTTCTGGCTGTGCTGTATCTCCTCCCTCAAGCCAGCGGTCGCTATCCTCTCTCACCATCTTATGTTTCTTCAAACTTACGCGTGGTGCTCGTAAGATTTATATGCGTTCTTGTTCCTAGGTTGCTAAATCTTCTCGCTTTCATCAGAAGTGACTGCACACTCTCAATCTACAGCACATTCGAATTTCATTTCATGGCAATAAACAATGCCCTGTTAATGTCAGTTTAATCATCAATACCCTGTTAAAAAATAGCATATCACGCAGTATTGATGTCAAGAACTTCCTGTTAGCGGATTTCACAATAAATATTACTGCACCTCATTGAACTATCAGAAGTATATGCGTGTGGATCTACTCGCTGTATATGTTACCGAGACACACCGTGTTGAGGTTTTACTGTTGTGCTGGTTCAGGAGGTTAGGTTCAGGCAGTTACCGAAGCGGTGTTTTCTTCAGGTGGAACATTTTTCTGCGCAGCAGGTTAGTTGCCGACATGGTGCCGCGATTTGGCAGTGTTGCGACTCCGAAGAATATCGTCTTCACCTGTGATTGGCTCTGTGATCGTTGACGACACACAATTTCGCAACATCACGAGTGGCGCAATCCCACGGTTACGAATGCTGTGAGATGGCACGCACATCGCCAGACTCCGGGCGACAACCACTTGGAGATCCCATGTGGCAGTGTGACGAACCAGAAGCGATCAGCCCTCCTGCCAACGAGCCGAGCCTCGATGTCCCCTAGACATACAAAGCCGAAGCTGGTAAGTACAGTAAAGGGACAGTTCAGCTTCGACACCCGCGAGGTACTCCCGAGCCTCTCCAATAACGTCCCGTGCCAACGCCACCCTCTCGCACCAAACCTTTCTCACCAACCAACCAACCTAACTTCATAGTCTCTCAGCCATGGATTCCTCTCCCTTGAGATTAGAAGCCAGTATCAAGTTTATTACCTGGCACCAATGTCTACTTGATGGTAGTCTGTCCACGTGATGTTGATTTCGTAAGGGGCTCTTTTCCATTGGCCTAAGCCGTAGCATGCTGTAAGCTTGATCGTGGGCTGAGGTTTCTGGTGTTTCTGCTACTGCAGGCATGCCCTCTGAAGCCATCGCAAATTTCGGAGACATTGCAGCCTTTCCGTGTAACTTTAGCCTGGGATCCATTGTGACATAGTCGGCTCGTTCTCGTGAACGCGTACGTGCGTCTTATAGTAATCTGAACGAGTCATTCTCATATATAGACGCAGCAGACTGCCATCATTCTCTGATATCTGCCATTCACTGATCGACACCGTTGCTGATTCAACCATCGTCACTTCACCTACTTAGACGTTTTTCCGGGGCGATCACCACTTTGATCAATACCCACAACAGAAGGGGACATACCTAACACCTCATAGCGCACAGCTCGCAGTTGATGACAATGGATGACAAGAAGAGCAGAAAGCGAGGTCCTCGGCATCGCCGAGGCGTTTTGATTCTCGTTCTGCTCCTCGTCGGCGTCGCTGCGTTCCTGGGCTTCGCGTTCAGCTCCTCATCCAAGTACAGCAGCCGGAATGGCGTTCAACAATCGGACGGGTATGATAACAGTGCCCCATTTCCGCTGGATCCACCCTTCTTTTTAGACTGTTTTATAAGATTACGAAGTGTGTTTCTGGGCTTCGCGTTCAGCTCCTCTTTTAAGCACAGCAAAAGGAATGGCGTAAACCCATCTTGTAGATTCCACAATGCTTTTCAAAATGCTATAAATTCTCAATACCTTCGTTTCTTTCCTCTTTTGATCTCGTTCCCTTTATTTGCTCTGACTTTCCTGTTCCCTTTCTTTTTTCCGTGCTGTGTTATTGTCCTGTGTCCTGGCAGCGTTATCGGTCAAGCGGCATCAGGTGCGTAGTAAAACTTCATTCTGGCCTTATTTCCGTTTCCGGAAGCTCTTACGAGTGAAAAGAAGCAGTTTTCTTTAAGGAAATTATGTATCAGACTGCTCACGTAAAGTTGCTCGCTCAAGCGCGCTTAATTTCGCGCTGGAAAACAGATCGAAACTCGGCTTCGAGTCACACATTGTCGATGTTTCGCTGCGGACTGACAGAAATACTGCGAAATCGTCAAAACTGTTGAAACGATCAAGCAACGAGCTGCGCATGTGGATGTTCCGATCTGTTCGTGTACGGTTCCACTCTACACAACAGTCTCGCTCATTAGCATGCTCGCATCTAATACAGCGGAGATTCTGCGAGCAAATGATCCCGCGACCGAGAGTATACGGGATGCTCACTTCCAGTAGACTTCAAACTTTTCCTCATCTGGCGTATGTGACCTGCTGCTGCCTAGGAAGCGTGGGTACATGATCGCCCAGCAGAAACCGTGCAGGTTGATTAGGGTTTCAAGCTTACGTACGCGAGCAGATCGCACATCTCAAAGGATTTTGTTCTGATCCTTACTTTCCTCGTGTCTTCCTCCCTTCATTTTTGTCCAATTTCATCTTGTCCACCGATCTGCCACGTGTACAGAAGGAGGTAGCGGGTGGAGCTTACTCGGTCAAGGCATGCTGGAGGCGGTGGGGAAGGTGCTCAGCTTCGAGGAACGGCAGAAGGTCACTGAAGACCTCAAGGAGTCGGGCGACGACGACCACGAGGTGAGCTCAGTTGGCCTTTGAGTCGAATCCGCCGATCCGCCGCGTGTGAAGGAGGGAGCGGGTGGAGCTTGTTGCCGAACATTTTGTGTCAGTGCGCAAGTCAGGTAAGCGTTTTAGGTGCTCAGGAAATGAAGATCGTGAAATGACGGTTGAAACGATGACAGGCAATGCGTGAGGTGAGCTTTAGAACCAAGACAGGCAATGACGATTGTGCTCTATTGATTATCTGACAGCGTTCATCCTGTTGCGTCTCACCCAATGAATGCCCTGGCTACGAGATATGGAGTGAATGAATGCTTGACGATTTCCCTGAACGGACCTACAGCTTGCTGTGTACTTCTTCCTTGCAGTCTCACAATTCCGTCTGTCATGTACTTTCTTTTTTGAGGCGCCTCAAAAATCGATTTCCCTGAACGGACCTACAGCTTGCTGTGTACTTCTTCCTTGCAGTCTCACAAACCCGTCTGTCATGTACTTTCTCGTTCCTACCCATCTCCCATCATTCTCCTTCCCTCCCCTCCCGCTCACGCCTTCCCTTGACAACCTCAGGCTGAGGCGATTGTAGCCACAACCCCTCCAGGCAGCGCAAGAGCCACAGGCGACATATGGCAGCAGCAGCGCCAGCAGCAGATCTAAAACCCTTCCGTCTTGTGGCTCGCTCGTTCTTACCCATGTTCCCTCATTTCCCCCTTCCCTTGACGCACTTACAGGCTGAGGCGATTGTAGCAACAGCCCCCCCAGGCAGCGCAAGAGCCACAGGTGACATGGCAGCAGCAGCGGCCGCAGCAGCTCTAAAACCCCGCGGAGGGGGCAGCTCGGGCAGCACAGCAGCCGCCGCAGCAGACGACAACCCCCTGAAGAACAAGACCATGGCGGAGCTGAGCGCGCTGGCCGTGGGTGTGACTGTAGAGCGCGTGCCTCTATCAGGGTTCATGGGCGTGGATGGACGGCTGGGGATCACGGATGGTAGTTGCCAGGCCACGTCTGGGGAGAGGGATTGTCTGCCGCATGGCATCTGCATCAACGGCAAATGCCGGTGCACCCTCCCGTGAGTGAATCACCTCTGTCCTGCCCAGGTCTCCTTATCTTGAAGAATCTTGTTGCCATAGAATCATCTATGGCTGCCTCGTAACCAGAGTTCCCATCTCCCACCTCCCCCTCCCTCTCCCCCTCTCCACCCCCCTCCCCTCCCCTTCCCTTCCCCTCCACCCCAACACCTTCTGTTTACCCTCCCCCCTTCCTCTCCCACAGCTACCAAGGTGACTTCTGCCGCTCTGCACGGCGTCCCTTTGTGCGCAAGAAGTCGACCTACGACGGCCGCTTTGTGCTGAGCGTGAGGCACGTGCGCAAGGCACACGGGGTCAAGTACCCTCTCACGCCCTCCCCGGGCTCCTACGCTGCTACCAACGCCGCAGCTGCTGGCACGGAGGGAGGCGCGGAGGAGGAGAAGGAGAAGGAGGGTGAGGGCGCCGCGTTTTTCGAGGCGCCGTTTTTCACTGCGGGGAAGGTCAACCGCGTTGTGTGGGGCAATCTGCAAAAGGTGAGGGGACTGTCTGTCCGTGTGCTAGCCAGCCAGCCCCCACCACACGCTTTCAGTTTGCCGTTTTTCACTGCGGGGAAGGTCAACCGTGTGGTGTGGTGTGGTGTGGTGTGGTGTGGTGTGGTGTGGTGTGGTGTGGTGTGGTGTGGCGTGGTGTGGTGTGGTGTGGCGTGGTGTGGTGTGGGCCAACTTACAGAAGGTGAGAGGGTTGTGCTGGATGAGTGCCACAACACATCGTGGGGAGGGGCCGCAAGGACGTTTGCGTTTCTTAAGGGTTTTTCAATGCTGAAAAGGCTAGAATTAACCTGATGGAGCTGGGGCCAACGTTTTGACACGACTCAAAACACGAGGACGTGGCATTTCTTAAGAGCTTTTCAATGCTGAAAAGGTT